TCCACTTCTCTTCTGGGTCACTCACTCTAAGTGGGACTCCTTCATGGCAAGGAATGTTGGAAAGACGTAAGAAGCTCTGAGCCTGGAGTAGCCCGTCAGAGCTCGTTCCTGCCAGCTTCCCCTTTAATGGCAGGATCTGCTCAAAAACCCAGCACAAAGCTGAGGCGGGAGGATCACTTGAGCACAGGAGTTCAAGACCAGCCTGGGCAACATAAGGCAACCGTATTTCTACAAAAAGTTTAAAAAATTAGCCGGGCGGCCGGGTGCGGCGGCTCAAGCCTGTAATCCCAGCACTTTGGGAGGCCGAGATGGGCGGATCACGAGGTCAGGAGATGGAGACCATCCTGGCTAACACAGTGAAACCGTCTCTACTAAAAAATACAAAAAAACTAGCCGGGCAAGGTGGCGGGCGCCTATAGTCCCAGCTACTCGGGAGGCTGAGGCAGGAGAATGGCGTGAACCCGGGAGGCGGAGCTTGCAGTGAGCTGAGATTGCGCCACTGCACTCCAGTCTGGGTGACAGACTCCGTCTCAAAAAAAAAAAAGAGTCCAGCGTCGTGGTGGTGTGTGCCAGTGGTCCCTACTCTGGAGGCTGAGGTGGGAGGATCACCTAAGCCCAGGAGGTTGAGGCTGCAGTGAGCCATGATCACACCACTGCACTCCAGCCTGGGCAACAGAGACCCAATCTCAAAAAAAAAAATTCCCCCTTTCCTCAAGCCCCACACCGCCTCCCCCACCATATGCCTGTGGCCCACTGAGGCTTGCATACTCTGAATTGCAATTATGTGTTATTCTTGATTAAATTCATTTATCCTGGAGAGCCTGAGTTTCTCTTTAGGTTGACCCCACTCACTCTTGTCAGTCCCTGCAGTGCCCCAAGCATCCCTGTCACGTGGTGAGCAGGGAACCCTTGGCATCTCAAGGATGCAGGTGCAGGAGAATGAGTCTCCAGGCTGTCAGAGCTGAGCGTGTAGAATCCAACCCTGGAGAGCACCCCGAGGTTCCTGACCCCAGGTTGTCTTGGTCCTTCCTGAGACCCTGGTGAAGAGTGGGATGGAAGTGCGGGGGGATTCCTGGGCACCCCAAGTAGTCTTGGCCTTCATGTGTGAACTCCTCTCTCCAAGGGGCCCCCAGTGAGCTCCACCCCTGGGACACAGCTGTGAACACCTGATCCTTGTTCCCAACACCCATGCACTGGCCAAAAGCTGCGCTTGCCAGGGTAGCAGTCAATCACAGCACCTTGTGTTTATTGGAAATGTCCCACCTACAAACATTAAGATGCCAGCAACTGGCCCAGCGCAGTGGCTCACACCTATAATCGCAGCACTTTGGGAGGTCGAAGTGGGTGGATCATGAGGTCAGGAGATGGAGACCATCCTGGCTAACACGGTCAAACCCCATCTCTACTCAAAGAGGTGCCTGGTGCCTGGTGGTGGGTGCCTGTAATCCCAGCTACTCGGGAGGCTGAGGCAGGAGGCAGAGGTTGCAGTGAGCCAAGGTCACCCCACTTCACTGCAGCCTGGGCAACAAGAGTGAAACTCCATCTCAAAAAAAAAAAAGACTTCACCCACTAACTATGCTTATGTAGAAAGAGGTTGCATCCCTGTTCCAGTCCTGGCCATGAGGAGTAGCTATGAGAAGGGCCCTAAGGCACAGCAAGGTTTGCAATAAGAAGGGCGGAGCCAGGGAAAAGGAAGGCTTTGGTTTCAAATATCACAAGGTGTGGGCCTGAGCCTGCTGCCTGCCCAGGTCTGGGCGCCTCCACTCAGCCACTGTCCTCCCCGTGCCTCTAAATCTGGAAGGTTGCATCTAAACCTGCTCTTCCAGATAACACCCCTCCCCTGGGAAACCAATGGGGATGAGTAGCGGCCCTCTACTAGGGGCCGTGGGTTTCGAGGTGGGGGCAGAGGATGCGTTAGCAGCAGTTGCATATCATAGCTCTCTTCATGTCAGCAGGGAGAGGGAGGTGCTACTGCCTCCCCCGAGATGAGAAAGCAGGTGAGAGTCACCAGGGGAAGAACCCTGGGGCAGCTGGCTTGTCCCAGCCACTCCTGAGTGCAGGGAGGGGCCAAGGCACCAAATATGGAGGCTGAGTCCTCACTCGGGGAGCTGGGCAGCCTGAGCACGAAGATCCATCAGAAGCAGCAGGCAGCTGGGGCGAGGGGTAGTGCCTCTGACTCATGAAATCCCGGATTAGTCAGCAACCATCAGAGAGGCCACCAGCGTTGATCCCACTGGTTGTTGGGGAAGCACAGAAAATTCAGCAGCCTAAACGGACCATGGAAGAGGCTGAGAGGCAGAGGCCCTGGGGACAGATGGGGAGAAGGCCGCAGCCTCAGGTGTCCAGGCCAAGCTTCTCAGAGCCACCTGGATCACGGACATCAGACCCTTTCTGTGGCCTTGCTGGGCATCCAGGGTATGTGGGCTGGGATGCCCCAGCCTTGCCCCCATTACTGGTTCGGCTGCTGAGGAGGAGGGGGCAGCCCTCAACTGGGTGGAATTGTTCCCCTCATTCCGGTTCTGCATCGGTAGGCTGCAGAAAGAAGCACGTCCTGCGTAGCTTATGCAGCTTCCAGTGCTCCACTGGGTGTGGTGGATCCCAGGGCGGGCTCCCAAAGGGACGTGCCCTCCTGTTCTCCCCAGATGACACCACACCTCCCTTGGGCCCCAACCCGAATCCTCCTCTCAACCCCATTCTCCCAGGTCCCAAGTCCCTCTGCCTCTCAACTAGACCCCACATCCGGGAATGGAGCCACAGAGCCCCCAGCAGGCTGTAGCCACTTGTGTCCAGAGGCGACAGGAGAGGCCCTGCCCTCACGGAGTCCACCAGCACGTTTCCTTCTGTGTTCTGCAGGCTGGAAGCACGTGGCAGGCTGCTTCCCCATCCAGAGCTCAGGCTGGGGCCATAGCCCCCAGCTCCAGGACGCCAGGGCTAGCAGGTCTGGGGGCAGTCTGGGGGCAGTCTGGGCATGTCAGGACTCCTGCGGCTGTAGTAGCTCCCTGGCCTGGTCCTCATCCAAGATGAACGGGGACTGGAACTCCCGGCCTTGCAGGTACACTTCTAAACCCTGGAGACGAGCAGGCAACAATGGCCAAGTACCCACCTTTTGGCTGGCCACAGCCCCCTCTGGCCACACCAAGGAGCCACAGTCCCCAGGCACGATCCCAGGTCTGCCTGGAGTCAGGGAGGGGTCGGGACATAAAGGCTTCCAGGGCCAGGAGCAGACACACACTGCAAGGCCACCCAAGACCACACTCAAGACCCTAGGCCAGTAGGAGACCCTCCTGTCACACTCAGGTCTGACCTGACCAGAGAAGGGGGCAAGGGTAGCCAAGGTCAGGGAGGTGGGAGAGGCCAGTATCCTACCTCCACGAGGCCCCCACCAAGGCCTGCCTGGCCCCACACTGGGCTCAGACCTGGGCTGTCTCATACCCATGCCCTCCCAGGTCCTGCAAAGGCCTCTGGACGCCTCACCCCACCCCATCCCGTATCTTGGAAAGTCTTCTGCAACTTTAAAGCACCGATCCCATTGGTTAACCAAGGTAGAGCTGTGCCGTCTCCACCCAAGCAGCCACCCCAGGTGGTATTAAAAACCTGACTCCAGAAAAGCCCCAGATAGGGACGGGCAGCTCTCACCTCTCCAGAGTAAGACACCAAGGGCGATATCTCACAGATGGCCGGAGGGTCTCCATTTGGGGGTAAGCTAGGGAAAGTCCGCTTGTCAATATCTCCTTGCAACGCCTACCCAGAGCCCTCCCACAGCACCCCCACCCCCCATAGGAGGCTGAGCTCTATACATCTGGCTCCCCGGAGCCCGTCTCAGCAAGCTCGTCTTCCTCTGGACACCCCAAACCCTGAGCACACACCCCACTGCCAAGTGACAGGACCTGATTTGGGGTAGAAAGCACCCCCACAGGCCTCCCACGCAGAACCTAGGCAGCTAGATTTAGAAAATCAGGGAGACAGAAGCCAAACGTCCTTTTCTTTCCCAGCCCTGAAATCAAACTGTCCTGCTACTTTCTTTTCTTTTCTTTTTTTTTTTTTTTGAGACAGAGTCTCGCTCTGTTGCCCGGACTGGAGTGCAGTGGCGCGATCTCGGCTCACTGCAAGCTCCGCCTCCCAGGTTCCTGCCATTCTCCTGCCTCAGCCTCCCAAGTAGCTGGGACTACAGGCGCCTGCCACCACGCCGGGCTAATTTATTTTTTGTATTTTTTAGTAGAGACGGGGTTTCACCGTGTTAGCCAGGATGGTCTCGATCTCCTGACTTCGTGATCCGCCCATCTCGGCCTCCCAAAGTGCTGGGATTACAGGCTTGAGCCACCGCGCCCGGCCACTACTTTCTGAATTCATGCCCGGGGCTCAGTTTCAAAGCCTGTGAATAAATGGGAACAAGGTTGGGTGATGGATCCCGTAAAAGCTCTGACCTGACCACTGTGCAATCTACGCATGTATCAAAGCTGCACACGCACCCCACAAGTTTATACCAATAAGAAAAATAAAAATAAAAAAATAGGCGGGCGCGGTGGCTCACGCCTGTAATCCCAGCACTTTGGGAGGCCGAGGGGGGCAGATCACAAGGTCAGGAGATTGAGACCATCCTGGCTAACACGGTGAAACCCCGTCTCTACTAAAAAAAAAATACAAAAAATTAGCCGGGCGTGGCAGCAGGCGCCTGTAGTCCTAGGTACTTGGGAGGCTAAGGCAGGAGAATGGCGTGAACCCAGGAGGCGGAGCTTGCAGTGAGCCGAGATGGCGCCACTGCACTCCAGCCTGAGCGACGGAGCGAGACTCCATCTCAAAAAATAAATAAATAAAAATAAATACATAAATAAAATAAAAGGCAAATCTAAGTATGCTTTTGTAAACAAACCAAAAGCTTGTGGACAAGTTGGGGAGGGAGTTGGGGAGCCCCCTGCCTCCCTCAGTGCACGGAGCACAACTTGAAGGGTCAGACCAGGAGGCTGTGCTGATGGTCACCGTGTGACCTGGAGCTGGCTGGGCACAAGGCCACCTGCATCTGTGGTGGTGCTGGGGAGGAAGACCCCTCCCCAGCATGGCTATCGCAGAGCCAACAGGGCTCTGGAGCTGAAGACTGGGTCCTGACAGCCCTCCCCTTCTGGTCGTAGCTACCACAGGGCCACACTCACCCGGGCAGCTCTGGGAGCCAGGCCCCATGGGCATCCAGGAAGCGGGCCCCTGCCTGCAGAGCCCACCGGTAGTGCTGGGCGAGCAGGGCCTGGCGGGAGGTACGGGGACTATCCCTGTCGGCTGGCTCTGCATTCTTCAGTGGGGAAAATTCCTCCTCCCGTAGTACTTCAAAGGCAACAAAGTTCCTGGTGGGGAAAGGGCTAGTCACCCACGTCCCGGCACAGAGGCCCTGATCTGGGTGGGTGAGGGCTGGGCCAGGTTTCCAGTGGCAGAGTGAAGGTCTGGTCCCATGGACAGCAAGTCTAGGGAGGAGCCCTCACAGGTACTGAGTGTCTTTGCCCCTGAGACGCTGGGGATGGCCCAATTCCAGCAGCCATTTCCGGGAGCCAAAAACCCAGACCCTGGGACCCCTGTAGTGAGGGCCAAAGGCCCCGTGAGCCGCCCTGGCAACCTGGCCAGGAGACCTCTCCTAACCGTGGGTGGGGGAGTGGAAGGTCCAGAAGGTGGCACTACTGTCCTCCCAAGTCCACAGCCCCAAGGACTCCCTATGCCCCCACCTCAGGTGCTGCTTACCCTCAGGGCCAAGAGCACCCTCTGGTCTTCTCCCTGAGACCTGCCTGCAGACCCCTTGGCCCCCACAAGCCTCCACTTCCCTGTCAGCTGGGCCTCAGTTCCCACCACCAAAACTGAGGGAAGGAAGAAGGGAAAAATGAATGAGTCCCACTACTAACTTAGCAAACCGGAACACATCAAACACAAACTTCTCCATCTTTATCCCGTTGGCTTTTAGCGGCTTTACCAGGTTCCCCTCCTCATCCACATACGGGACTTTCTTCACAGCCACGTGTGGCTTCAGCAAAGGTTCAAACTCCCTGGCGTATGGGAGAGCAGAGGGGAGGAAAGACACAGATCAGATATGGCACTGCTGGGGCTCTGTCCCCACTTCTGAGCACACCCAGATGGGTGGGACAGGATGCCAGAGGGACACTACAGGGGACAGAAGCAGCAGAGTAGGGCCGGATCTCCAGGGAGGAGCAGGCACAGGCCTCCTCCCTGCATCCCCGTGCCAAGTGTCAGGCACCATCAGCCACATCCCTGCCCAGGCAAACAAACTGGCAAGCCCCAGGGCAGAGGTAGTACCATGGGCACCAGGGCAGGTCCCCAGAAGGCGGAGATGGCAGACTTGATCACAGAGCCTTACAGCAGCTGCCTGCTGAGGACGGCTTGTGCCTGATCTCCAGCATCTCTGCCTGTGCAAACACAGGATCCATTTTCCACCCCAACCCATCAGCCAGCCCTGACCACAGCCGCTGCGGCCCAGGGCACTCGGCTCACTCCACGGGTCCCTGGTCAGCGCAGGCGACACTGGCCGGCACTCCGCAGCCACCTGCTGCCGCACACCTGGTGACCGCCTTAAGGAAGCCTCGGGTGAAGAAGTGGTTGCAGATGTTGCCTGCATTGTACAGCAGGCCCCCGTCAGAGGCACGCAGCTGTGCGGTGTCAGGACTGATCTCGCTGTACTCCACCACCTGGGGGACGCCGTCCACCTGGCACACCACGCCCACGGGCTCCTCGGGGTATGCCTTTTCCACCACCTGCAGCCAAGACCAGGGATGGTCTCGGAGGGCTGGGGAGAGGGGCGGGGCTCCACGAGGGGCAGGGCCAGGCTGCGCGGAGGGGAGGTAATCCACGAGGGGCGGGGCGCCGCCCAGGTGGGCGCTAACCTTGGCGCCACAGTCTGCGCCCTGCAACACACAGAAGCCGATGAAGACAGGGTCTGCCAGTCGCACCAGGATGTTGTCCACACAGTACACGTGCACAAACTCCACTCCTCGGCGCTCCATGTCCTCCAGGATCTTGTGGTCCTCCAGTGCGCAGTAGAGGCCCCCGTTTCCATCTGCAGACGGAGAAGGGAATGGATGTTGCGAGGGCTCCAGCCACGGCTCGCTCTGCGGGTCCAGGACGTGCTGCAGGCGGGGTAAGCCCCGGCCTTGTGCCTAAGGCAGCCCCGGTCACTAACCAGACAGCCCAGCAGTTGTACCACGTGACAAATGAGGCTCAAGGCCCAGAGAAAGAGGCGCCTAACCCGGGACCACACAGCCTCCAGGCAGCCGCGAATCCGGGCGCGTGGACCCCCAGCTACCCTCCCAGTTCTGGTCTGGGAGGTCCCTCCCCGTCTCAGGAACGGGCCACACCTGGGGCCATGGCAACTTTGTCTTTCCGCTCCAGGATCACCTTGCCCTCAAAGGTCACAGCAGGCAGCAGGCGCTGCTCAAACATGACCACGTTGGCGGGGTCCAGGTGGAAGAAGTCGTGCTCCCTGAAGAACTCGGCCGTGGGCCCCAGAGTGAACTCGCTGGTCATCACGTACCTGCAAGGGAGGCGCGGTGAGCCGGCCGCGAGTGCGCCTGACCCTGCAAGCAGACGGCGCCGGCATTGGGGTTCGGGGTCCAGTGTCTAGTTGGGGCTGGGGCCAGGCCCCGTTTTGGGCCAGTGCTGGGCTATGCCCCGGGCTGTGCCGGGGTTGGGGCTCGCGTCTGCAGCGGGGTTGGTGGGGGGACGTGGGGAAGGGTCCCTTCGGGCCGAGGTAGGGCAGGGAGGACACACCAGGGGACGGTGCAGCGGGTCCCGTGGCGCTCACCGGCCAGCTGCTCCACCCGCCGAATCCGCTCCGCCTGCAGCTGGTACAGGGTCTTCTGGCTGGGCAGCCCCACACGGTACATACCCTTGGGGTAGGTCACGCCCAGGCGAGTGCCCTGCCCCCCCGCCAGCAGCAGGACAGCCACCTTGTTCAGGGCAATCTGGCGGAAACCTGGGGGTACGGGCGCTGTGAAGGGACGCCCGGGACCCGCCCACCCTTCCGCTTTAGGGAAAGCCAGCCCTGGGGCTGGGGCTCCGGGACTTGGGGGCCAGAACACGTGAGGCGAGACACGTCTCAAAGTAGCGAGGAGAATTACAGTTCCCCGAGCGCGGCCTCGGTTCCCTCCCGCTCCGTGGGCACGAGCCCCTGCCGGCCCCCAGGGCCTCCCGCCCCGCCTACCTTCCTCCTCCCAGCGCCGCCGCGTCTCGGGGTCGCTGCGGCTGGCCCTGCCCACGCGCTCGGCGGGCAGGGGCCGCAGGCGCTCGGCCAAGCCGGGCAGCGGGCCGTGGTGGCGCGCGCAGGCCTCCGCCGCCCGCCGGCAGTGCTCGCGCAGCGCCTCGGGTTCCAGCAGCGCCAGCTCCGCCAGCAGCGCGGCTCGCGACTCCGGCGCCAGCTCGGCCCAGAAGCGCAGGAGGTGCTCCTGGCCAGCGCGCTGCAGCCGGGCGCGCACATCCTGCTCCGAGGCCATGTCGCTGCTGCCGTCGGTCGAGTCGGCACTCGTGACCCGCGCCACTGACCAGCGTCACGGGACCGGACGGGTGGCGCAGACCCCACAGCGGGGCGGGCCCGGGGCGCTCCGCCTCGACCCCGCCCTGCGTCCTGCCCCGGAGCCCGCCCACCCCCGCTCCGCGACCCCGACTCCGTCCGGGTTCTCTCTGACCCCGCCCTGTCCACGTCTCCCCAGCCCCACCGCGTCCTGTCCGAGACTCGAGACAGGCCCAGCCCCATCTCTCCAGCCTGTCCCTCGTCCCTCTCTGTCCCCTGGACCCACTCCAGTGTCTGGCCCTGGCCTGGTCCCTCGAGCTCCCGTCCCAGTTCCAGCCCTGCTCCAGGCCCCCGACCCGTGCCCGCCCTGTCCACTCCGCGCCCCGCCGCGAGGGATCCCAGGACCCTCTGGGTCGCGCCTGCTGGCGTGGGTGGAGAAACCGACCACTGAGCAAAGGGAGGAAGAGGCCCCGGGGACGCCCCGCGGAGGAAAACTAGGTTCTGTCCCAGCACGGGCTTTAAAAAGAGTGGCATGGCCAGCTTTTCGCTAACCAAGACTCGCACGGAAACCTCCTGGTGCCGAGACAACCGGCCAGGGTGCATTGAAGAGGCCTGGGCTACGGCTGAGCTGTTGGGAGGATGGAGCCAGACCGTGTGCCGGGATGCCAGCACAGCGTCAGCAGGAAGCCACCCTGTGACTTGGGGCTCCCTGCGGCACACCCCTCCACCTTCCCATTGCCCGGTGATCAGAGCACTCTCAGCCCCTCGCCTACATTGTTATTTTACTATCAGGTTTTAAAATACCTTGTTTGTGGTTGGCGCGGTGGCTCACGCCCCAGCACGTTGAGAGGCCGAAGTGGGGGCATCACCTGAGATCAGGAGTTCGAGACCAACCTGGCCAACATGGTGAAACCCCGTCTCTACTAAAAATACAAAAATTAGCCGGGCGTGGTGGCAGGTGCCTGTAGTCCCAGCTACTCGGGAGGCTGAGGCAGGAGAATCCCTTGAACTCAGGAGGTGGAGGTTCAAGTGAGCTGAGATCTCTCGGCTTCACTCCAGCCTGGGAGACAGAGTGAGACTTCATCTCAATAAAAATAAAAATAAAATCGTTTGCTTGTGAAAAATATGAAAGGGTAGATTCTGCCAGTTGGGCACAAAACTTTCTCCTAGAAACTATAATAAGTCCAAAAGTAATACACATGGCTGCTTAAAAGAATTCAAATGGTGGCCAGGTGCGGTGGCTCACGCCTGTAATCCTAACACCTTGGGAGACCAAGGCAGGATGATGGCTTGAGCCCAGGAGTTCGAGACCAGCTTCGGCAATATGGTGAAACCCCGTCTCCACTAAAAATACAAAAATTAGCCAGGTGTGGTGGCGTGTACCTGTATAGTCCCAGCTACTCGGGAGGATGCAGCATGAGAATCACTTGAACCCAGGAGGCGGAGGTTGCAGTGAGCCGAGATTGCTGGGTGACAGAGCAAAACTCTGTCTCAAGGAAAAAAGAAAAAAAAAAAAAAAAAGCCAGTAGTGGTGGCTCACTTCTGTAATCCCAGCACTTTGGAAGGCCGAGGCGGGTGGATCACCTGAGGTCGGGAGTTTGAGACCAGCCTGACCAACATGGAGAAACCTTGTCTCTACTAAAAATACAAAATTAGGCGGGCGTGGTGTTGCATACCTATAATCCCAGCTACTCCAGGGGCTGAGGCAGGAGAATCCCTTGAACCTGGGAGGGGGAGGTTGCCATGAGCCAAGGTCACACCATTGTACTCCAGCCTGGGCAACAAGAGCAAAACTCTGTCTCAAAACAAAAAACAAAAACAAAACAAACAAAATTGTGCTGTTACAGGAAAGAGGTTCCGATCCAGACTCCAAGAGAGGGTTCTTGGATCTTGCGCAAGAAAGAATTCAGGGCAAGCCCGTATAGTAAAGTGAAAGCAAGTTATTACGAAAGTAAAGGAATAAAGAATGGCTACTTATCCGGCCGGGCGCGGTGGCTCAAGCCTGTAATCCCAGCACTTTGGGAGGCCGAGACGGGCGGATCACGAGGTCAGGAGATCGAGACCATCCTGGCTAACACAGTGAAACCCTGTCTCTACTAAAAAATACAAAAAAAAATAGCCGGGCGAGGTGGCGGGCGCCTGTAGTCCCAGCTACTCGGGAGGCTGAGGCAGGAGAATGGTGAAAACCCAGGAGGCGGAGCTTGCAGTGAGCTGAGATCCGGCCACTGCATTCCAGCCTGGGTGACAGAGCAAGACTCCGTCTCAAAAAAAAAAAAAAAAAAAAAAAAATGGCTACTTTACAGACAGAGCAGCCCTGAGGGCTGCTGGTTGCCCATTTTTATGTTTTTTTGGATGATATGCTAAACAAGGAGTGGATAATTCATGCTTCCCCTTTGTAGACCATATAGGGTAACTTCCTGACATTGCCACCGCATCTGTAAACTGTCATGGCGCTGGTGGGAGTGTAGCAGTGAGGACAACCAGAGGTCACTCTCATTGACATCTTGGTTTTGGTGGGTTTTGGCTGGCTTCTTTATCACAACATGTTTTATCAGCAAGGTCTTTATGACCTGTATCTTGTGCCGACCTCCTATGTTATCCTGACTTAGAATCCCTTAACCATCCAGAAACGCAGCTCAGTAGGTCTCAGCCTTATTTTACCCAGCTCCCATTCAAGATGGAGTTGCTCTGGTTCACACGCCTCTGACGGTGATCTAGGACTCAAAATGAAAAGTAACATCTCCCTCATGCCGCCCCGTGGACCCCTCAGGCAGTTGTGTCTCCTTGCAGTGGGATTCTGCCCCCACCTCCACACACATGCCCTCACTGAGTTCGGAAGGGGGCTTTACCGCCAGGGCAAGGCCCAGATGCATTCTCCTGGACCTGCATGGAGTTGCTTTTTGGGCCTGCCTCGGGGTCTCTGCACTTCCTGTTCCTCCCCCCTGGACCGCTTGTCCCCAGAGAAACGTGTGGCTGGGGACGTTTGGTCAGGCCTCAGCTCCCCAGGCCGCACCCACTCAGCGAGCACCTTCCCATCCTCCGTGCCAGGCTGCCTTTCTGCATTCTCGGCTGCCTCACTCCCCTGTGAGAAGTGAACCCTACAAAGGCAGGGAGTTGCTGTTTTTGTTTTGTTTTTTGTTTTGAGACAACGTCTCATTCTGTCGCTCAGGCTGGAGTGCAGTGGTGCAATCTCGGCTCACTGCAACCTCTGCCTCCCGGGTTCAAGTGATTCTTCTGCCTCAACCTCCCGAGTAGCTGGGGTTACAGGCGCCCGCCATCACACACAGCTAATTTTTTGTATTTTTAGTAGAGATGGTTGGCCAGGCTGGTCTCGAACTCCTGACCCCGTGATTCGCCTGCCTCGGCCTCCCAAAGTGTTGGGATTACAGGTGTGAGCCACCGTGTCCAGCCCAGGCGGGGCATTGTTTAGGCCACTGCTCTACCCCCATCACCTCAGATAAATGCAGCACACAGTAGGCACTCAATCAATGTTTGTTGACTGAACAAGGAGTGTTGAACCCAAGCCTGCACTGTGACTGGGCAACAGCAAATGTTCAGGGAGTACTTGCTGAATGAATGAATTAATGAATGGCCTGTTCTACTCCAGTAGTTTGTGGTGGTTGAACACCAGTTCAGATGAACGTTGGAGTTGGAGGGTAGGCACATACGGAATCAGGTGAGCAGAGCAGGCTCCACGCCCCAGGTCAGAGTCCATGGGAACCCTTATCACCCCTGCAGGGCTGGGCAGCAGAGGAGGCACATGTCTCTTGGAGGCAGGTGTCAGGACACGAACTCTTGGCCCTCTAGGTCAGGATGATTCCAAATTTCACCTCAAGGTGTGGGTTGGGCTGTAATAGAGGATTTAGAATATCAGGGTTTGTACAGCCAGAGGCACTTGCGGCACCAGAAGGGGAGGAGCGACCCTACCCAGGCCGACAGAGCCTGCAGACAGGTAGGAGTGCTGGCAAAGCTGAGGTGGGCAGCAACCTCTTGGACCACCTTGTGGCCAGGTAACTGTCTTCACAAACGACTCAGGGGAGCAGGGCACTAAGGCTCAGAGGCCAAGAGTGCAGACGGGTGCCCTGGGAGGCTCAGGGGCTGTTGTCAGTTTTTCCCTTGGTGCCCACTGCTGGGGATACATCAGGGGACAGGGGGGCCAGTCTTCCTGCCACCTCTGCCCAGAGTGGTCCAGGCTTGCACAGTGAGAACACAATTACAGCTA